CGGGATAACCGGGGGATGGGGAGGGGGGGGGATTTGGCTGCTTTTATCCTTTATCCTTTATCAATCCTTTCTCATTTATCCTCTATCATCATTTATCCTTTATCCCAGAAGCTGCCGCTGGGCCAGAGAAGGGCAGAGAACCCGAGGAGCTGCCCCACCTGCCCCGCAAGTTGCAGTCGGTGAAATAAGTGTCGGAAAGGAACTTCTCCACCCGTTCCAGCGCCGTCCGTCGGTGTTTTAGGAAGGACATGGCGACGGGGCCCTCCTGCTCCACGCAGGCGCTGAGCTTTGCCCGGGGGGAGGGAGAGAAGGAGGGTTTTAAACCCGTCCCTGCCTCCCTCCATCCCTCCCGCGGCCCCGGAGCCGCCTGGGCAGGAATCACCGTCCGCCCCGACGGCTTCTTTCCCCCCCTCAGAAACACCCCAGGAGTGGCACAGCCTGGGAGGAGGAAGGAAGGGGCTGTCAGGCAAGGGTTAGCCCTGATATTTTGGTGGAAATACCGCGCTGCGGGGAAGGTTCAGAGGCAGGGAAATCACCCGGAGGGCGGGCAGAGGGAAGGGAAAATGAAAGGGAAAAGGAGCGAGTTGACATTAAATAAAGAAGCAAAGCAACCCCCAAAGCTCTGCTGTTGTACAGGCTGGGGGGTTAGGGAGCTGGGGGTCTCCGTGCCACGCAGGGACAGGCTCCTGGGACGGGACACCCACCCCAGCACTTCCCAGCTGCTCCCAAGTTCACATCACCCAAGAGTTTTTGTGTGCCTGAGCAACACAACAGGAAAACCAGGGGGAAACCTTTGGGATGGGAGATGCAGGAGCCCCTTCCTGCCTGGAGGAGAAAGCAGATGGGAAACTTATTGCTGGCAAAGCTGGGCTCTTCCTTCTTCCACCCCTCTCTCCAGAGGAGGTTGCTCTACTTGCCCCTCGGGCGGCACTCTCCCCCCCGGCTGCAGCAGCACTGGTGAGGGGCACATCCTCCTCCTCTCCCCCCTGGCAGGGAGCCCCAAATGCCAGGAGATGAGGAGCTGCTGTCTCAGAAAATGAAAACCCTGGGAGAGGTTTGAAGCAGCTCCCCAGCCAGGGGTGCCAGAAGCCATTGGGTTTGTGCAGGGAAAGCTGCCTCCTGTGAGGAGGATGGTGCAGTTGTGGCTTACAAAGTCAGTGCCCACCTCTTCTTTAAAATCAGAATCTTTCCCCCATTTTAAATCTCTTCCAGCACGCAGCATCTGTGCTTAAAAAATACATATACATATATATATATATATCCCCTGTGTAGGTTTCACCCACCCTATCCCCTGGCCCGCCTCTTGCACACACAACACTGCACACACACACAACACTGCACACACACACACACAGAGCAGCCCTGCCCAGCACTGGGTTTGGTACTTTTGGCTGTTTCCTCCAGTACTGAGAGGGGGGAAAAAAAAGATACCAAACAAACCCAAGACATCAGCACAACCAACCCCAGGTAAGTAGCTCAGCAACACTTCCCAAAAGCAAAGGGCCTTGGAGCTGGAAGATGAGGTGGATAAAAATTACCCACCAGGAAAGAACAAAGGAAAAATAATAATATTAATGACATTTAAAATTATATAATATATATTTATATATCTTAACAGACTGCTTAGACCTCAGTTAATCCCCAAACACACGTGCTGCCTCTGCTGTCTCCTCTCAGGTTGGGAAGCCAAACACACCCAACAGAGTCAGGATGCAAACACACCCACCCCTCCCAACC